AACTCTTGCAAGTTTTTACAATTCTTAACTCTTGTTGACAAAAAGTATTTTAAGCACCTTTTATCTTGCAGGAAGTTAGTGTGTTATACTGAAGTATAACAAAAATCTGTGCTGCTTAAAATTGCTATGTTTAGCCTGACAACTATTCTTCATACCACAGTACTGGGTTAATCAGAAAAGTTTGTAGGACAATAACGTACTCCAGTTTTGATTTATTATTTTTTCCAGCTTCTGGAAATTTAGCATAGAAAATTGGATTGTTTTGAGTTATCCTCTCTCTAGTCAACTAAGTTTATTAAGACATTGAACTATTAAATTATTATTTACAAAGATTTTTAATTCTTATCCACGCTGCCTTATTGAATGTTTCTGTACTTCCTCTCACACGCACGCACACAGACACAAGCATTCTTCGGTCTGTACCTTCAACACACGCTTCCCTTCCAGCCCTCACCAACCCACTCCTCTCGCCCGTGTTTCCTCCTAAGAAACAGTTGTGTTAAAATTTATCTCCCAGTTTAAAGGAACTGGAAGTTTAGAAGGGAGCACTAGTTAATCACTGGAAAATGTCAGCTAGAATAAAACTCACAAATCTTGTTCTTGCAACACTGTAGGTAGGTGACAATGGCATGTCCTTGAGTTATGCAATAATGCCACATCACAATATTTTAATTATAGTATGTCCTTCAAAATGTTCCACCCCAGTGAGTACTCCTGGTCAGAGAGATCAACATCACCAAAAGGATACTGCAATAATAATGGAGTGTGCATGACAAACTGTTACGTAGTCTGCTAAAGTAGTGTCCTAAAAAGAAATGTAATTACCATCCCTGCTTGTAATAAAAGACATTTTGAAATTTCCTCTTTGATCAGCTGGGCATCTTAAACAATTTAGACTACTTAAAAACCTAAAAAACAACATGCACATATGTATATATGTACATATGTATGTGTGTGTATTCATGTGTACGAATACATGTGTGTATATACTTATACCCACATACATTTTTGTTTATATACACCCACAATGTTAAACAACAGTTTTGTTTTCTGAACTTGCTAATATGTGAAAGGCAAGGAGGTAGCAACAACATACTTTTAAAAATAGAAGGAAGAAAACTTGCAGCTATCCGTCTCAGGCTGGAAAGTGCTACAGATTAGTAAGTGGAGGAAGTAGACTATTGACAAGAAACAAACACCTACGATAACCTCAAGTTTAACCATTATTATCTAAATAACCTGTTTTCAATAAATAGATACATAAATAATACTACTGCATTTCAAAACTAGAAAGAGAAAATTATAATAATATATAGCTATCTGCATTTCTAAATCAGGTATACAGAAAATAAATTCTCGATCTAAAAAAAAAAGTTACATGAAAATCATCCTGCTACTGAAGAATTTTTTCCCATTTTTAAAGGGTATCACAAATTATGGCATTCAAGTTTAAGGAAAAAGCAACTACTTATTTTGATTTTTCTTTCTAATAGTAAATTTGAATTTTGTTAGCACAAAATTTACATTGCACAACTGTAAGTAACTAACATTATACAGAGACACTTTGGTTGCACCTTTTTTAAACCATTAATGTATTTTCCAGCTATAAGTGTGGGATCAGATTTTTTTTAATTGTGAAATATGTACCTCTGCCAGATATTCCTGTGTTTTACTTTGAGATTGGAAGAGAAATTATCCTTCTTGTCTGGGTTTAAAAATATTTTATTACTGGCATTTTAAAACCATGAGGAAAAAAAGGGACTAAGTAGTAAATGAGAGAAACAGAACATTCATCTGGCTGACAGCAGCCTAAGTTTACAAAAGGGTAAATACCTTTTAAAATAAGCTACTCATTCTCCACCTCTCAAGTCAGAGCAGCAGGTTCTGGGAGCCCTACTGTCTGTAGGCTGAGCATGCCATCAAAACAAATTAAAAAAAAAAAAGCTGTTGTAATTCTCTCCTGTTCTACACGTCAAAAACTCCAATGCTCTGAATTTCTAACATTAATACTGCAACAAGGCATTTTATCTTATTAAGAAACGATAATATTCTGTTGAACAGGAATAACTTGAACCAAAGTTAAATACCAAGTACAAAGCTGGGGTGGGGGGGAACAGGACACACGGGAAATTTCATTATTAAGCAAAGGAAAGCTAGCAGAACAAGAAAATCTAATTAACATCTCTATTTAAAAGTGCTGCACCTGAATGCAAATCCGGACTGTTATCATAAATGGTTCAACTAAGAATGCAATAAAGTTTTGACAACAATATCTTTTTTTTTCAGTAATAAGTAGTACAAGTGCTTCCAAGAAGATATAAAGAACAGGTACAAACTGACTTGACTGAGTCCATCTGTCCACATTAGTTATACATCATTAGTCAAAAATAAATGCAACAAGTTCACTTAAGGGGGAAAAAAAAAAGAGACCAGTTTGGGACCTGAACCTCCCCCCAATGCCTCAATTTTATTTTTTTTTTAAATGTAAAAGCATTATTCTTAACCTTCCAAAGGAATTCTGGCTAACAATATTTAAAATATTTTTATTAATTATTAAAATAAAATATTATTTAAATACTTTTTATTTCTTGAACTACCAATTTAATCAAACTACAATGACAAGACTTTATCATGTTGCTGTATATTTCAATTTTTTTTTTCCAGTGTTACAGTATCAGTACCCAATTCAAACCACCAAAAAAGTTTTGCTAAAACATGAAAAATAAAAAGCTACTTCACTACACATTCTTTTTTCTTTAGGCTAACACACATTTAATCATTTGTTAATTTTAAGAAAAAGCTTGATTGTTTTTTCTACTCACAGAGCAGCTTTGCATTTTTCAAGGTGCCTTCCTTCACAATTACTATTTTAACAAAATTAATATTTCTATGACATCAGAAACATTTAATAAAATTTGCTAGAATTACTATACCTGATGAAACAAGCAGCAATTCTGTAGCTTTGCCTTCAGTTTTCATAACGTGTTGCATGTCATTTTCTAATAAATATTCTCTGATTTAAGAAATGCAAAACATCTCTACTTGAACTAAAATCTCACAGCATGTAATTATCAGCAATTCTTTTCATAAACTTAGTACTTTAGTACTACTAATTCAAACTTCTATGTAAAAAGCCTGTTTTGGGGGGAAAAAAAAAATCAAGCTGTACTAGTCACTCTTACAATTAGTATTCCTGTAGTTTCGGGTAACACAATAGATACAGTACGTGGTTTTGCAACAGTCATCATTTTGATAATGATACTTACAGTTCATGATGAAATCATCAGTTTTTAGATCTCTGCCATAACACATCCTATAAAATCATGAGAACTTGACTCTGAGAGTTTCTCACGCCTTCAGAATCAGTGAACATAATGGGACAAGCTGATACAAGCCCTCCTGACTTATCTACTGAGCAAATCATTAGGCTGTAGAAAGTATCCACAACCTTAGTTTTTCTGAAGAAAGGCAGATAGATTGTTCCCCTATAAATCAGTTACTGACAGAGAGTTTTTTACCTGAATTAATACACTTGTGTGTCTGTGTTAACTACATGCAATATGTAAGCTGCTACACAGTAGAAGAATGTGAAATGTGTTTATCAAGCAGAAGACTATTAGTCAGATACTGCAGTACTCATTTCTCTTAATTGAATTAGGAAGAAGAAGAAAATTGGTGTGGTTTTATCCTTCGAGAGATTGGCCACTTTTGAGGTATCCATTGAGATTAGGCTGTTAGGAAATGCCATGCCAGTTAAAAGAGGGGGTTGGTCAGTCCCTGAAAGAGCCAAGTCAGCTACCCAAGTGCAACCAACCCACTCCACCCTCATTTCACCAAAGCAGGAAATTCCCTCCTCTCTCTCCCGAACCGGCCCGACAGGCTTGCCCCATATCCAGCTTCTGCCAGGACCTGCCTCTTCTCATCCTACCCACCTCCACCTCTCTCTCAACAGCTCCACCTAGATTTCTACTTTCATCTTCTGAATGAATGTTCCTTCAGTTTTCAAAGAAAACTCCTTCAAGCCCATAGCAGTGGCAGGTGACTAACACTGGAAAAAAAAATAATGCTGAGAATTAGACCTCTCTGTGACTGTGTTTAGGTGCAGAAGGATGTCAGAGTTTCTGCATGGCTATCTCAACCCTGGCATCTAGCATTTTTGTTTTGTTCAAAAAAACCCCACAACACACCAGAAGTAATATGAAGGGGAATACAGTTAAAAGAATGTATTGCTTTGTATTTCATTCCAATGTTCCACTACAGCTAATTTTAAAATTTGCATTACAGTTTCGGCACCGCCAATTGCAAAAGCCTTGTTTTCCGGCACCCCCTCTTCCCTGAGACACCACAGGAGTTGGTTTCCTCTCTTCACCTGGGAAGAAGGATTCTAGAAACCTGAAAAACTGGAAACATCAAGAGCCTAAAATTGAGGAAAGTTAACCACAAGAAAGTTTTTATAAAGAATCATTACATTTAATTGTTTAAAATACAAAAAAAAATGAGTCTCCTCAAAGAACGTAAACCAAAGAAGCCTCATTACATCCCAAGACCACCAGGAAAGCCATTTAAGTACAAGTGCTTTCAGTGCCCCTTTACTTGCAATGAGAAATCCCACCTTTTTAACCATATGAAGTATGGCCTCTGCAAAAACTCTATCACTTTAGTATCAGAGCAGGATCGTGTTATCAAGTGTCCAAAGACCAGTTCCTTGGAGCCCAAACAGATCAATCAGCTTGAATCTACAGTCAAACCAACTTCTTCTAAATCTGTCACAAATGGACTGTCAAATCTCGATTCAAAGCCTCAATATCCTTTTGCAAAAGAAGACGCCAAGGAAAACGTTGAATTACAAAACCAGGCAACAAACACAACAACTCAAGGACAAAAACCTGCGATTCAGAAGGAATTAACCCCTAGCAGCACTACAACAGAAAGTGCTATCAGCATGCAGCCGCTTTTGGACAGCATTGGAAGGCCCTCGGCTTTTGTTCCTGTAGGAGAACACAGAGATAGTAAAGACCCAGAAACTAATGAAGTATCTGAAATTATATCTCTCTCTAACAAAAGTTCACCTTTTCACACTAAGTCTGCATTTCATGCACCAAGTCACCCATGGAAAGCAGGTTCTCCTTTCCTTCCAGAGTTCCCACATAAAGTCACACCCACAAAAGGCTTTGGTTCCATTTCACCTTACATGCAACCGATGATTCCTGAGTACTCGCCCCATTTTTATGAGCATAGGCTGGCTATCTACACACCTTACTTGCTTCCAGGTAATTCAGAGTGTGAAAGCTCTGCTCTGTCTGTCTATGGCACACAAGATCAAAGACACTTTCTTCCCCACCCTGGGCCACTTCCAAAACCCATAAATCCATCAGCATATGAACACTATCGATTGTTCCAACAATACCATTCCACTCCTCCAATACCATACGGATTTTGTAGGCCAACAGATTCTCCATTTTACAGATTTTCACATGTAGCTGGTATTAACAGAGATCAAAATTCTCATCTAATGGAAGAAACTACCTTGCTGTACCCAGCTTCTTTAAGCCCATCCCAACAATACCCTCTAAGCTCACACAAAAAACAAGCAGATTATGAAAAAGAAATTACATTATTGCATGCCAAAAGTCATTCCAAAGATGACCAAAATGAAAGAGAGAATGCTAAAATGAGCCCTCTCGCAGGAAGTGCAGCAACAGGCTCCCCTGGCAGACCCAGCCCAACCAACTTCACACAGACAAGCCATGCATGCGAAGGCTTATTTGACCTCTCTAACAAGTCATCTTCAACATCACTTGGCAAGTATGATCAACCAGAAGAAAACTTCACAGCTTTCAGACCTGTGAGAAAAAGTACTGATCAACCAACTCTACTTCAAAGTGTGCAGACACAGCAAGATAGAGGAGATTCACCTACCAGGTAAAATGATAAAACCACTTTGCAAATTCTTGTCAGATTTCCTAGGGACACACAAAGACAGATGGATGCATTTCATGCAATGCTCCTAAAATATATTTAAATTTCCAGCGTTGAGATAATTTGTTCTATATTAACTGTGCAAAACACAGTACAACTCACAGTTGCTATAGCTGCTGTAGTTCTTCACTGTGCGGGTGGTCAGACACTGGCCCAGGTTGCCCAAGGAAGTTGTGGATGCCTCCTCCCTGGAAGTGTTGAAGGCCAGGCTGGGTGAGGCTTTGAGCAACCTGGTCTAGTGGAAGATGTCCCTGCTGATGGTAGGGGGGTTGGGACTGGGTGATCTTTAAGGTCCCTTCCAATCCTAACCATTCTATGATTCTATAGTGAGTAGACCATTCATTCTCCTTCAGTGTATCAGGTACTTCAAATACCATTATTATGTACGTGCCTGTATACTTCAGGAAATTACTTGTATTACAGCAATGTGTATGGTGAAAGGGACTTGGGGGAGTTACAGGAGAAACAATAAAATTGTCAGACTTCTAGCCAGATTTTTTTCTCTTCTTCCTGCCTACTTCTTCTGCCCCAATTTAAAAGAGCAACTGATAGTGAATTGTCTTTTCATTTCTTTCAGCATTAACGTCACTGATGAAGACTCACATGCACAAAATGAATGTCATAACAACGAAGGCTCACTGTCCAACATGGAAGAAGACACAGGGACAGTTCCCCTTAATCTTTCAAAAAAGGCTGACACAAACACAGGACTTATTCATGAGCATGCATACAAAACCACATCCAAACCAGAAAGTCAGAACTTTCTAGAATTGCAAGACATGCCTCTGAACCTCTCGGTAAAAGATTCTTGTAACACAGTAAGCCTGAAAACATCATTCCACGGTCCATCTCACAATAACTCTGCTACTCCTCCAAACACCGACAATGAAACTTCTGGAGCAGGTGCATGTAACCCCAAGAACTCTGTTAACCCTGCCAGCGACAGATCTTCTTTCACAGCTCACTGTAATGAAGCTCAAGACTTAAGGATAATTGACAGCTGTGATGAACAGAAACAAACAGCAGCTGTAGCTCTCTGTCAGCTAGCTGCATACAGCCCGAGCAAAGTCAGAATGGACAACGAAGGGCAGAGTCCTCAGGACAGTAACGCTTCATGTACAGAAGCTGCTCTTAATTCTTTGGATACTCAGGATACTCAGGATACTCAGTGCAATCAAAAAGGAAAAGGACAAAAAAGGACAAATCAGAAAGAATCAGCAAAATCACAGCAAGGTGCTAAAAGAGTAAGGCCAAATGACTGTAGCAGAGTCTTCACTTTAAGGAAGAGAACAAGGGTATCTTAATACTTCACTTTCCAACTAGTTTCTGGTCATAGAAGCTAGTTAGCAGCAACATGATAAAACTTCTACAAACCGTCTCTTACTGGGTTTGGTCCGTGACAAGATACATTCAATCTCTCCCGTGTAAATAATGTTCATAATTTTATATTAATATTTTTAAGTAACTGAACCTTCCCTTGTATAAGCTCAGATTTTGATGAGTGAATTTTGCATTCATTACTAAAGCCAAAGTACATTAGATTAATCTCTATGTTTTTTTGCAATTGTATTAATGTAAAATAACTTTTCCAACTTCTTCTCTTAAAAGATGTTTAAGCTCTAGAAACAACATTGTTCAATAACATACTGTCATAGTCTTTTTCAGGCTTAATTTCATTTAACAGAGATTTTTTGTCTTTTTTTCTTTGAAAAACTTTTTATTTCACTGTGCAGTAGTTTAAATAAGCTTAAGATTGAACCTGGCTATTTAGAATTTACTGTAAAACTGTTTTGTGTATGAATGCACTTTGCCATTATGCTGTAATACAAAACAACAGACTGGATTTTGTTATTCACAGCCAGATGCCAGTTTAAACCGACACAAACCTTGTATACGCAAGCTTTCTTTATGTCAACTAAGAACAAGACCCAAGTTAAACCAAAGGAAGCCTGCATCAATTTACCAAAAAATGTAGTTTATGTTCACCTTTAACTGAACCACTATGAAAACAATATTGAAAAACTGAAGATCTAAACAATTTAGGTGTCTAATCCTCTGGGGTTAGACAGACACTGGGCACCCTTCAAACTCCAAGCCTAAAAGGTTATTTATATAATTTATTTCACCTGAGGCAAATTCTTCTTGTGAAGGTCTTATTTCCATATACCTGTATCACTAATTTCAGTGTGCTTCTCCATACATTCGAAAACTATTTTCTGCTTCTATAACTGTGTATATAAATTCACAATTTTTCAAATAAATCTGTGACCTGTACTTAAAATATATGGAAAGTCATTAATGAACACAAATACATTCACTACACTACCTGTAACACGTATTTTGAAGAAAAATTAGCAAAGAAATTGCTAGCTAAAATTTCAATTTACAAGTAGAATTTGGCATGGAATACTAACCAACTCTAAAAAAGGAGCTTCCTTCAGTAAAGGAAGTTCATTATGCAGATTAATCCATCCATACTTCAGCTCCAGATAACAAACCTCAGAATTCCCCCTGCCTTAAAGCTGATGGCCAGCTTATTCAAACGTCCACAAAAGCTTACCTACAAATAAGGCTGTTGCACTGCATAAACACCCTGGGTAAATTTGCACATATGCACTATCAGTCTACGTAAAACAAACCCAGACTACGTATTATTCACTTAAAACTATGGGTATTTTTTCAAATTAATTTAAATGGAAAACAAGGTCCATTAAAGCAAAAGGAAAAAAATGGAGAAGGGACGATGTCAAGTGTGCCATAGCTACTCTGCAGCCTAGATCTGCTCAGCAATAGTAAAGGTTTGACTCTGATGAAGATATAACATGGTTTGGCACTACTAGTTATATTCTTCACTAGTTGCATCCCATTTCATGTCCAAGTCTTGCCAAATTCTACCCCTACAAATTCAATTATCCTCTTTTGCTCATCCTTCACAGTATAGTACATTTCTGCCTTCTGTATAACTCATTCTTGAGTATCAGATAACCAAACGAGTTGCACTTTAGACAAGATGGTGTCCAATTAAGTTTCTTACCCATCTTCTTATGTAACAACTGTTGGAATTCTTAGCACTGTTTTATTAAGAAATAATTGTTTTTCCTTAGACCTGTATGCCTCTTTCCCAGAAAGACCTCGCTGCCATGACTGTGTTCTCTCCTTCCCTTCCTACCTTATCTTAGCTTTATATTCTTCCACCTCAGTAACAAAAGGCTTCATCTTATGCAATCTGACAAATTAAAAATTTGCATTTAAACCTATGTATATGAAAATCACCTTCACAGGCAGTAGTATATTTTCAGTGCACCTCTGCAGAAAAAGAAGGGTGTGAAGGATACAACTATCATCCCCATTCTACATACACAAAAACTTAACCTGAAGAGTAAAAAGAGATGGTTTCACAGCACAGATCAAACACTGGCAGAGCTAGGATTCACTCATCTCTTTTGCAGACCTGTACAATATCACAATTACACAGAACTTCCAGTTTAGATTTAAAAAATTCTATTGCATACATTCTATTACATTACATTCTGTTACAGGCTATCCTGATTCCTTGATAGAGGTGCACAGTTTCAGTTTTGTTAGAACTAAAATAGAGGCTTACCTTTGGATGACTTTCCATTCTTAGATTTGTAGGATTTTTAACTGTTTCATCTTTACCGTACAAGGGCAAAAGTAATTAGAAAAGGGAAACGGACTGAAGGCTAGCTGCACAAAAATTCTCATATGCCAAACAGACACCATATTGGACATGCATTCTGTTCATGAAGACAGAATAATTAACCGTATTAAATACCTTGTCTTGCAGTTTATTCAAGAACAAATGAACAGATCTTCAGAACAGAAAAGATTTGGCCACCTTACTTACTAGTATGAAACACCAGTTTTGAAACATTTTTTGAAAATTAGTACTCAACCACTCTGTCCAACACAGGAGAATCAGATGAGATCAAAAGAATCCCCTAGGCCAACACACTGCCGTAAAATTGCCCAGTAGTGGATGTGTACTACTACACTAAGCTTTTGTCATTTCAATGCTGTAAAAAATTGACCAAAATCACAAAATAGAGAACTGCTACTTTCACATTAATATCTGTACTTCAGTGCATACTGGTACATACAGAACACACTAAGAAACAACTCCTCTGCCCTGTTATTTTTCTTTCCATCCTGATTATTTCAAAAAGCCATTAAAAACTTAAACAGTTCATTGTATAAATTATGTGAAATTGGTCTCTGAAATTTAACTGGAAACAAACACCATAAGCTACTGGCTTTAAAGTGAAAGTTAATCATCAATTATTTAATACATTCTGTTTAAATAATGACACTGACACAGTATCGAGACATACAGAATTATTTTTATAAAACTGTACAAAGAAACACAGGATGGAGGTAGAAAGAATAAAACCCCAAGAAGCTAATTTCATTTTGGAAAGAAAAATTTATTAAGTATAAAAAAGGCACACCCAAGACAATGCTTTTGACAGAAGTACCTTAAATATCACCATAGGCCTATTTTTTACTCTAGAATTCAACACGACAGTCATTATTCAGCATACTCACATCAGCAAATTCCAGTTTATTGCCACACATTCAGTCTCTAGTAATCTAAATTGTTAACTCACAAACTTACTAACATTCAGCAACTACAACTCACCATCTGAAATTCGGGAAGGTAGTAACAATCCTCTTCTGCCTAATTCAGCCAGAGCCAGGCATCCCCCATGCCATGCATTGTCTGTTTCCTGGAAACTAATTATAGAAAAAAAAGACATGTTAAAAGACCCATAATGCAAACCAGCATGTGTTTATTGTGTTATTAACATGCAAAAAGTTCATTTTGTATTAAACTAGGACTAGGAATCTAAGAATAAAACGTTGAACAGACAGACTAGGTCATATCAAAGCTTCATCTCTCCCAGTATCTTGTCTTTGACACAGACCAATAGCAGATGCTTGGCCAAAGACGAACCATACATGACCATTCCCTTTATTAGCTTCCTCCCAGCTTTGGCAACTAGCAATATGGAGACTTCTCAAGCCAGAGGTTGCTGCCAGAATGTCATATTTAATAACCTCTGATGGGACTCTCTTTCATTAATTTGTATAATCCCTTTTTTAACTCCCTTTACACTCTTGGCTTCCACAACATCCTGTGGCAATGACTTCCACAACAGTTTAATTATAATTGCGTGAAAAATACTTCCTGATGCTTCCTAGTTCTCGCATTATGAGAAAGAGTGAAGAGTAAACAATTAGTCGCTTTCCCTCGTTCTTATTTATGACTTTATACATCTTCATTATATTCACTTTTTCTTTCCACTTGGAAAAATCCTCATCAGTTAAATCCCTTTTCAGTAATTTAGTTTTATCTCTTCCTTTCCTAATAATATCTAGCAATCCATTTGCCTTCTTTTTTCTGACAGCAGCTGAGCACTCCATAGACATTTTGACAGAATAATCAGAGACCTCAGGATCTCCTTCCTGAGTAGTAATAACTGTTTTACAGCTAGTTGCACTTTTCCCTAAGTGCATTAGTTTGTATTAAAGAGACACTATACTTCATATGTAATTTACTGTCTAGTTACTTGACTTAAACGTTTCTGTAACATTTTCTTTTCTGTCACCTTTAGTTTTCACTACATTAGCTAACTTTAAATCATCAATTGATTTCCTCACCCCATTGTTCACATTTTTTCCAGGATCCTTTATGAGTATCTTGAACAGTACAGGGCTCATTCAGACCCCTGCGGGACCGTGCTGATAATCTCACTACACTGTGGAAAATGTTCACCCATTTCTTCCCTATCTCTAGTTTTTTAATCTATCTATGCATAAGAAATCTGTTCTTCTTATCCCAAGAGATATAAGTCAGTTGCTCATCAGAGGCACTTTAAGTTATTTTTATTTTGGTTACTAGATATTTGGTGCAAAGAATACAGGAGAGATTCCCTCTGTCCCTGTCTACATTTGTTCCCAGGTGTTTCTGAAGAAAGCAGGTCACTCAATTACTAGTTGGATTACTCATCCCTACGACTTGAAAAACAAGGAAAGAAAACACAGTGAGTACAGGTCTTTGAAGCTCCAGGGATAATTGAGATCAGCAGCACCTCTTAAATTAATCACAGTAACAGTGGAAGTATGGGCTAAGTAGACACCTTCCTTGCAAGTTTTTAAGACTTTGTACCTTCTTTTTTTAATGTGTTATTCTTTGAAATGGTATTTTTAACTTGTACTCACAACCAATATGAGAAGATTTTCTAAAATTCAGCATATCTGAGTGGCAAACTGAATATTACCG